GAGGGAGAAGCAGCTAGTGGTACAGCAGATAGAGCTCTAGGCCTTGGAGTCAAGATGTTGAGTTCAAATCCAGCCTTACAGCTATGTGAGCAAGTCATTTAACTTCTATTTATCTTGGTTTCGTGAACTATAAAATGAGGATAATAATAGCACCTATCTCTAATGATTGTTGTGAGCATCAAATGAGATATTTGCAAAAGAAAAAAAGGACCTTTAACATAGACCTTAGCGTATAGTAGGTGCTATATAAATGTTCGTTTCCGTCCCCTTTCCCCCTCTTATTCTGTTAACCATGTTGCAATATAATTGGCTTCCTTTGGAATCCTATATATTTGATCTAGTGTATTTAAAAACATGATTCTTGAAATGGATTGGTAGGCTTCACTAGGCTGCCAAAGGGGTCCATGACACCAAAAAAGATTAAGGATCCTTTCTCTAAAATGCAAATTAAAACAGCTCTGAGGTACCACCTCCTACTTATCAGATTAGCTAATATGACAGAAAAGAAAATAATAACTGTTGGAGGAGATGTGGGAAAATTGGGACATTAATGCACTGTTGGTGGAGTTGTGAACTCATTCAACCATTCTGGAGAACAATTTGGAACTATGCCCAAAGGGCTAAAAATTATGTGCATTCTTTGATCCAGCAATGCCACCACTGGGTCTGTATTCCAAAGAGATTTTTTTTAAAAAAGGAGGGAAAGAATTTATTTGTACAGTAATATTTATAACAGATCTTTTTGAAGTGGCAAAGAATTGGAAACTGAGGGGATGCCCATCAATTGGGAAATGGCTGAACAAGTTGTGGTATGTGATTGTTATAGGATATTACTGCGCTATATGAAATCATGAGCAGGCTGATTTCGGAAAAACCTGGAAAGACTTACATGAACTGATGCAAAATAAAATGAGCAGAACCAAGAGAACACTGTACACAGTAACAGCAATACTATGCAATGATCAGCCGTGAATGACATAGCTGTTCTCAGCAATACAATGATCCAAGACAATTTCAAAAACCTCCTGATGGAAAATGTTATCCACCTACAGAGAAAAAACTGATGGAGTCTGAATACAGATTGAAGCATATAATTTTTCACTTACCATATTTTTTCATGGGTTTTTTTTCCCTTCAGATCTATGTCTTCTTTCACAACATGACCAATACAGTAATATGTTTTGTATGATATATATAAACATATATAACCTATATCAAATTGCTTACTCTTTTAAGCAGGAGGGAGATGAGGAAGGGAGGTAGAAAAATTATCTTTATATGTAAATGGGGCAAATAAAATATATTTTTTATTTATTTAATTTATTATTAATTTATTATATTTAATTAATTTATTTTTAATTTAATAATATTATATTTGTTATTTATTTAATATATTTAATTTATTTATTCTTAGTTTTAAAATTCACTTTCATAAGATTTTGAGTTCTAAATTTTCTTCCCTTCTCTCCTTTCCCCCCTTCCCAAGATGGCATGCAATCTGATATACACTATACATCTACATTCATATCAAACATATTTTCACATTACTCGTGTTGTAAAAGAGAAATAGAACCAATGGGAGAAAACACAAGAAAGAAGAAACCAAAAAGAGAGAGTAAATAGTATACTTTGATCTGCACTCAGATTCCATAGTTCTTTTTCTGGATGTGGATAGCATTTTCCATCATGAGTCTTTTGGAGTTGTCTTAGATCATTGCATCGCTGAGAAGAGTTAAGTCTATCAAAGTCAGTCATTGCACAGTGTGACTGTTACTGTGTACAATGTTCTCCTGGTTCTGCTCATTTCACTTAGCATCAGTTCACGTAAGTCTTTCCAGGTTTTTCTGAACTCTGCCTCTCATCACTTCTTATGCAACAATAGTTTTCCATTACATTCATATACCACAACTTCTTCAGCCATTCCTCAATTGATTGGCATCCCCTCAGTTTCCAATTCATTGCCACCACAAAAAGAGCTGCTGTAAATATTTTTGTACATGTGGGTACTTTTCCCATTTGTATGATCTCTTAGGGATACAGACCTAGAAGTGGTATTGCTGGGTCAAAGGGTATGCACAAGTTTGATGGCCCTTTGAGCATAGTTTCAAATTGTTCTCCAGAATGGATGGATCAGTTCACAACTCCACCAACAATGCATGAGTGTTCCAATTTTCCCACATCTTCTCCAGCATTTATTTATCACTCTCCTCTTTTGTCATGTGAGCCAATCTGATAGGTATTATGTGGTACCTCAGAGTTGTTTTTATTTGCATTTCTCTAATCAATAGTGATTTAGAGCATTTTTTCATATTACTATAGATAGCTTTAATTTCTTCATCTGAAAACTGCCTTGCATATCCTTTGACCATTTATTAATTGGGGAATGACTTGTAAAATAAAATATTATTTTTAAAAAAAGAGTCTTTACTCTAAAGGAATTTTGTTTCTGATCAACCACACATAGTCATATCAAAAAGGAATAAATGAGTTAGATTCAGTTAACAGCAAAATTGATACAGAGCAGGGACAAGGCCTTCCACTCCTTGGGGAGAAATAATTCAATATGATGCTGTAACCAGAAAGGTCAACAAATTATTGAGTGTTATTAAAAATGCTATGGAAGCAAAAAATAAATCAATAAAAACAAAACCATCTTACTAGCTTTGTACAAAGTTGATATATGTTGTACGGAGTTCATGTTGCCACATTTAAGAAAGAGGTAAAAGAGCTGGAGAAGGCAACTGAAACAATTAAACAGAGACAGAGAACCATGATTACAGATGGTCTGTGATGAAACACTTCCCAGCTCTGGAGAGAGAAGTGATGGACTCAGGGCACATCAAAATAAGACATGCATATTTGGATATGGCCAATGTAGAAATCTGTTCTTCTTGACTGCATAGTCAAGTCATATTCACAAGGGTTTTGTTTTTATTTTTGTTTTAATGGGGGTGTCAGGGAAGGTAGGAAGGAGAGAATATAAATGTTTGTTATTTTTAAAAAATTAAGTTTAATATATGAGGAGTAATAATAATAACACATTTCTATAGCATTTTATATTTACAAAGTATGTCTATACTATTATGTCTTCACAACAATCCTGTGAGATAGGTAATACAATTACTATCTGCTTCATTTGACAGATGAAGGAATTGAATCTTGGGGGGTGGGTGTGTGTGTGTGTGTGTGTGTGTGTGTGTGTGTGTGTGTGTGTGCGTGTGTGGCAGTTGGGGTTAAGTGACTTGCCCAGAGTCACACAGCTAATGAGTATTGTGTCTGAGGCCAGATTTGAACTCTGGTTCCTGACTTCAGGGCCAATACTCTATCCACTGCACCACCTAGCTGCTCCCAAAGAAATTTAATCTGAAAGAGGTAAAGGGACTAATCTAACACCCCAGGCTGGCACAGACATGCACAGAGTATAGGTCAGGTATGTCAGTACATCCCAGTGTTGAACTCTACCATTGGTCCTTCAGAGAGGGATTGTTCCACTAAAGGGAAGAAGGACCAACAATAATACTTGCCCACCCATTTTCTATGCATGCTTAAGTTGTCTGAAAAGTGGAAAAGCCAGGAGGGCAATCCAAATTTTCTGACTCTTCCTGCCTGCCAACCTCACACAAGAAATGTTGTATGAAATCAGGCTAACAAGATTTGTACTAGACTATAAGCTCCACAAGAATAGGGCTCACGTCTGATCTAAACTTTGCATCATCCTTGGTACCTAGTACAATGCTCTTAACACAAGGATAATATAAATACAGCACTTTGAAAACTTTAAAGAGCTATATACATGTTAGCTGTTAATATTAAGCATTGTTGAACTGAATTAAATTGAACTGACTACTCATTCAGGAAAAGCTGTAGGCAATAGAAGACCTGATCTAATTCTATACAATCCTGATAGAAGAAAGATATTCCTGTGCCCAGAATCCCACTAGAACTAGAAACTTGGTTCAAGAAAACAATGAAGGAAGATTTCTATTAAACAGTCCATTATTGAAGCCTGAAAATACATGTAGGTTTAATGGAAGTTAATATGAATTAATGAATGATAGATACTTAAAGGGGGTTTTGAGGGAAATTAAGATATTTGAAGAATATCCTAGAGCAGAGCTGTTGAACTTACAGCTTACAGGACATCTGCAGCATCCAGCACCCCTGAATGCAGCCTAAACCAGCTTAAAATGTAATTGGGAAATATTTGACAAAATAAAAATACAATAAAACATAGGTAATATTACATTTTAAAACTAAGTCAACATCTGGCCCACAGGAATGACTCCTTAGGTATAGTTTTGTTTAGTTGTTTTCAGTTGTCTGACTCTTTGTGACCCCATTTGGGGTTTTCTTGGCAAAGACACTTGACCGATTTGTCATTTCCTTCTCCACCTCATTTTACAGATAAGAAAATTGAAGAAATCGAGGTTGAGTGACTTGCCCAAGGTCACACAGTTCTTAAATGTCTGAGGCCAGATTTAAACTCATGAAGATGTGTCTTCCTGACTCCAGGCCCAGTGCTCTATCCACTGTACCACCTAGCTGCCCCTTATGTACAGTTCAGTGACCCCCATTTCTATTTGAATTTGACACCGCTGTCCTAGAGTTCTGGGCCTGGAGTCAGGAAGACCTAAGTTCAAGTCCAGCCTCAGATACTTAGTAGCTGCGTGACCCTAGGCAAATCATTTAACCTTCCTCTTTCTCAGTTTCCTCAAATATAAAATGGGAGTAATAATAGCACCTACCTCCCAGGGTTGTTGTGAGGATCAAATGAAATAATATTTGTAAAATGTTTAGCACATTGCCTAGCACATAGTAGGCAAAAGCAAACCCAACTTTGTGGCCCTAACAGGAAGATTAAAAGGGATAAAAGAAAAAAAAAGAAAAGAACTGGAATCTAAGGGGATATTAACTCACTCACTACCCAGCACTTGGGGAATGGAAGAACTAATGGTGGTATACGTAACAGTATATTAACTACAAAAAAAAAAAACACCAACCTGAATTCTGTGCAATCACAATGAACAACTTGTGCAGAAAAAAAAAAAAGAAAAAAATCCATCTCTCTATCCCTTCTTTGCAGATGTGCAGGATTATAGCTGTAAAACATTGCGATCCACCACGGCTCACACTGTGAGATTCAGTTGATAGCTTTGCTGAATTGCTTTATTTTCTCCATTTTTTTGTTACAAGAAACGTTGCACTGAGTTAGAAGAGAGGGAAAGGATATATTCAGAAAAGAAAAACAGAAGTTATCAGCAAACTTTTTTTAAATTTGGCATCCGTAAAACATTTTAAAATGTTTAAACCTAGGGGAAAAAACGTAAAATTTATGCGCAAAATTTGAGGCACACCTATATTAGGGATGGGACAGCAACTAAAACTCATCATTAATCTATATTTTATCTTCAAGTCTTATTCAAAAAAAAATCCCCACACACAGAATTGGTTCCCATAAAAACTGACTTTCTCCCCCCTTCCTCTTCATCTCTGTCATCCAGCTTCCCTGGCTTCCTTAAATCGTAGCTAAAGTCTTACCTGTTGTAAGAAGTCTTTCCCAGTCCTCCTTAATCTTAGGGCCTTCCCTCTGTGGATAATTTTCAATTTAACTTGTAAATAGCTTGTTTGTATATAGTTGTTGACATGTTTTCTCCCCCATTAGACTGTGAGCTCCTTGAGAGCAGGAATTGGGGGGGGGGGGGTTGTCTTTATTTCCCAAGCGCTTAGCACAGTGCCTGGCACATAGTAGCCCCTTAATAAATGCTTGCTGGGGCAGCTAGGTGGGGCAGTGGATAGAGCACTGGCCCTGGAGTCAGGAGGACCTGAGTTCAAATCCAGCCTCAGACACTTGACACTTACTAGCTGTGTGACCCTGGGCAAGTGACAACCCCATTGCCTAGCCAAAAAAACAAACAAACAAATAAATAAATGCTTGCTGACTGACAGACATAAAAGTCAGAGTTCATGTCCAGTTCAACAGAAATGCTGGTTTCTTGAGTATGTGCAATGCTTCTCTCTACATGGCAAGCATAGGACAGGAAGGTATTTATTATGCTATTAAAAATACATTCCAGCTGCTCCTGAATTGTCTTGCCACAGGTCAGTATACATTGCTTGATGTTATATTCTTAGAGGTCTTTTTAAGTCACATGCCCCATGATCTTGACTTTTTCCTTTTGTGCTCCTTCCCAGATTCTGAAAAATAGTTTTCTTGTTGGCTTTTCAATAAACTTTGCTAATTCACATAAGCTAAAGGATTGAAAGGGACTCAAGAAATCAAGTAGTGCCCATCTCTAATGCATGCATAGTTTACCCTCCAAGAGAGAATTATTAACTTGGATTGCCTGCATGAGGACTACCAATTTCAAAACTTCCATGTACCTAAGAAAACTCCCATTCCCGGTTTTGCAAAAGTACTACTGACATGGAATGCCAATTAAGACTGAAAATCCACCATTTAAATACAATTCATCTAAGACACAGTATGTGCTAAATGCCATATTCATGCATGCTACATGTTTATAAACATATAGACACATACATATACATGTGTGTATACATGCATATTATTAACTCTTTATAAAGTTTGCTAACTCACAAATGCTTCCATTGAAAAGGAATCTAGCAGTCCTCTAGTCCCCAATTGAACATGAAACATGAACTCCTTCTGTAATAGTCCCCCAAAGTGACTAATCTAGCTTTTTCTTCAACATCTTTAGTGGAGAGGAACTCGCTACCTCCCAAGCTAGACTACTAAATTTTGCATCACTATTTGGTAAGAAGGTTTTCCTCATACATGATCCATATATGCCTCCCGATAACTTCCACTCATCAGTAATATTTCTGCCCTCTGGATCTCTATAACATAAACCTAATCCCTCTTCCACAGGACAGTATGTCCAGTACCTGAAGAAAGAAAAAAAATAAAAAAGACAAAGTGTTCTAAAATATTTATGGAGTCAATGTGCCTGCTCCTTGCCCTGAGTGCATGTTGTTCTATTAGGAGAATTCCTCCTGGCATTACTGATGTGAAAAGCCCTTGAGTTAACTCCTTGGTAAGATGTGGATTTCTTGCTTTGTCCTTCCTGGTCACTTCAACAAGATAGTACAATCATACCATATTCATGGGGATTTATTGATTCCAAGGCATTTCATACTTTATCCTTAGGGGTTGTTCACTAAAAGCGGGTGTAGGTGGGACAGGACAAGGGCTAGGAAAGAAAACAGAAAATGTTCTTGTTATGTACCAACTCAGTTCTTTGAAAAGGAAGCCTTTTGGGGCAGCTAGGTGGCACAGTGAATAGAGCACCAGCCCTGGATTCAGGAGGACATGAATTCAAATCCGGCCTCAGACACATAACACTTACTAGCTGTGAGACCCTGGGCAAGTCACTTAACCCCATTGCGTAGCCAAACAAACAGACAGACAGACAGACAAACAAATAGATAGATAAATAAATGAATGAATGAATGAATGAATAGATAGATAAGCAAATAAATGAATGAATGAATGAATTAATAGATGATAGATAGATAGATAGATAGATAGATAGATAGATAGATAGATAGATAGACAGATAAATGAAAAGGAAGCCTTTGTAGTCATGTGGCTCCCTATGCTCTGGGGAACCACTTGCTTTCAAGTATTACCTGGACCTTCCAGCTTAGACACAGGGGAAGACTTCTTGAATTAAGTGAAGGCCAGAGCCGAGAGAGCAAGGGACAAAAGCATAATGTAGAAGAACAAACCTGGACTTCATTTTTCACTAGTATTGGGAGAATTTAGAGTCTGATGTCTGAAGGAATAGGGATCAATGTTAGATTGACTCTGAGTCACCTACTCTGTTCAGGGAAGATCACATAATTCTGGAAATATATATCTATGTCCCTAAGATGGTGAGGCTTACCAGAGGGAATTGGTTGCTTAACTCTCTAGCAATGCCAAGTTCTTTCCTTTCAGTAGAAGTCCTATCTAAAATAGTCTTATAAGTCTGGAGGAACAGATAGCTCATGAGAGGGATGTCTTGCTTGATTCTGCAGCAACCCCAAGCTCTTTCTTTCAGCCGGGGGCCAAGGAGGATGGAGGAATCACCTAGGGAGAACACCATAAGTTGAGAAGACTTTAGAGCTCTCTGTGGCATCTAGGTGGCACAGAGAGTGTCTGAACTGTAGTCAGGAAGACCTGAGTTCAAATGTGACCTCAGACACTAGTTGTGTGACCCTGGCCAAGTCACTTAGCCCTGTTGGCCTCAGTTTCCTCATCTGTAAAAAGATCTAGAGCAGGAAATGACAAACCACTCCAGCATCTTTGCCAAAAACAATCCCAAATGGGGTCACAAAGAGTTGATAGGACTAAACAACAAGTGGAGCCAGGGCTCATGGAAGAGGGTTGTTTTGACTTTAATGGACTTCAGTGTGCATCCTTTTTGTTTCTTTTGGGTTAGATAAAGAAGACTATTTTCAATGTTCTATTAGCCTAAGTGCTTATGTGTGAGCTAAAGGTTACTTACATTACCTTTATCAGGTGACAACACGTCTCAATTGAATATATCAATCAGAGGTGTGAATAAGAGCTGGACTTCTCCCTGGAATCAGTCATTCAAAGCCATTTACCCTACACAGAATATCTGCTGAGATTGTTGAAGGACTTGACCGTGTTCTGTGGAGCTTTTATAAAACCATCAAGATAGTTCGGAATCCAGTGAATTGGAATCTGGTAATAGTGATGAGAGTTGCTCCAGCCAAGCTCCTAAGGAGGAAGTGCTTTGAGAGAGAACATCTTCACTTCTCCACCATAATCCCTAGACAAAAAGAGAACCTTATAAGCCTCAGAGTGTTGAAGGATTCTGGAATTCCCATTGGCATCCTAGTCCTATTAGCACCCCTGAAACAGCTAACTCAGGGTCTCCACTGGGAGGCAGAACAAACTAGACTTACTGAAGGAAGACAAAACAAATCAAATTCTGATGTTTCAGATGAAATCCAGAGTGTTGGTACAAGCTAGAGAACTGCTTAGGGAGAAGTTTCTAAGATGGAACCTAATATGTAAATCCATAGCTTTGGTTCTGGACCACAGGTTATACTTATATAAGAATTCATTGCTCTTAAAGTAATAACTCAACTAGTATCATCATTAATTAATTCTAATTAATTCACATTTAGGGAAATTTATTACTGGGGAAAGTCATTGGAAAATGACTGATATTTTAAAAGAGTGTCAATAAAATATTAGCCAAAATGCAATGTACATATTTTAAAATCACTAGGTAGAGGAAATAGTAAATTGGATATTAATGAAAATTGCTAAGAAATCCTGACTTTGTCCCTTACTACCTATGTCACCTTGGGCCTCTCTGAGCAGCAGATTTCCCACCTATAAATGAGGGGGTTGGACTAGATGACCTCTACACACCTTTCCAGATCTAAATTCAGGATCCTCTGATCATTCTATAATATGCAAGTTGCTATTCCATCTGCTAAGATCTTCCAGAATTGTTTACTATGTGACTTTACAGTTAATGTTTTTGTTGTGTTTTTTTTTGTATACAAACAGTGCTCAGGAGAAAGGATCAATTTGAGATTTCTCACCTTCTTAGATCAGTCTTAATTGGGCTTAATTTCCCAAAGTTTAAATGATTCAGAAAAATCTTTCTGTGAATCTGTTTAAGCAAACTTTTGTAGCTCTTTTTATATAATCAAACAGTAACTTATAGGAAAATTTAAACTCAGATGGAATAAGTTACTGTCTCCCCCCCCAAAAAAAAGTGTTATAACAAAGCTAGTTGTTGATTTAAGATGAAACAAATCCTGGTACTTTTGGAGATCAAATCCTTAAGGAATTTTTAAAGATGATGATAGAATTCCCTTCCCATAAACCAAAACAGCTCATCTGATGGTTTATTTTGAAGGAATTAACCTCCAAAAGACCTTTAGATCTTCAACTCTTCTTAAAATGCAGTGCAATCTAACCACATAAATTTAAAGTTTTAGTTAGTGATCAATATCCATTAAGCAGGAGGAAAAGGATGATATATTCCACTATAGGGACCAAACCTGAGGCTAAATCCTTGCTTTGATTTCAAATGAGTAACTATAGTGGTTGCATCTAAGAAAAACAATCCTCTTGCCTTTCATGCCCTGTATATTCTTTGAACCCTTGTTCCAGGAGTGACCACATTCTTCACTCTGCTGGTTCCCTTAGGTCAGGGATTTCTTACTAAACTCGTCATTTTTCTCTACTTTAATCCAGCTCACATGGGTTTACTTGATGCTTATTTTCCCTCAGAACCTGGTACCTAATGCCATATGCCCCACTTCTATTCAGCATATTAAGTATAGTTATCAATGCCATGAATATTTTTTTGAAAATGAAAAAGTGGAGAGAAGCACCATTACAAAGATATAACTCCATATTCTACAAGTGCTTATATATGGACTTGCATAGGGTAGAATGTTGAGAGCAGAGATTGCTCCATTCTATGGGTTTGTATCCCTAGAACCTAGTACATAGCTTAACACATAGTAGGTGGTTAATGAATGCTTGCTAAAGGTGAGGGGTATAGGTATTGGAAGGGGGATGAGTAAGAGGGAAGCTTTGTTTCAGTGATAGAAGGGGATGCTATTAATTAATGATTATAGGGATAAAGAAAGATGTTCTGCGAAGATGAGGACCTTGTGCTGGGTATTATCTGCAAGGATTTGATGCTTGGAGAGACCACTATTCCTTGGGATGGGGGAATGGGAAAGGAAATCAAACCTCCCAGAGCAACTTGCTTGTTCTTGCCCTGATTCCCCTGGGTTCTTGCATTGACCTCCACTTCCTGAGGGTTTAGCTTCTCTGGGGTTTTTGTTTGTTTGTTTGTTTGTTTGTTTGTTTGTTTGCTTTGTTTTGTTAGGCAGTAGAGTGAAGTGAGTTGCCCAGGGTCACACAGCTAGTAAGTGTCAAGTGTCTGAGGCTGGATTTGAACTCAGGTCCTCCTGACTCCAGGGCCAGTGCTCTATCCACTGTGCCACCTAGCTGCCCCCACTTCTCTGGATTATTGAGGTTCAGACCTCTATCTGGTACCTCAGCACTTCAAACCCTTATACCTGGGGTGTTCCCAACTGAACACAGTCTCCAACCTTGGGCTTTCCACCAAACTTGAGGCTTTCTCAGGGGAATCTTCCATTTAGTCCCTCGGGCCAAAAAGTTTTTACAGGCTGCCGATGTTCCTGCACTATTGCTGGCCTTGTTAGCCCCAGGTGGACTTTTTTGCAGTTCTGGGATGAAAGCAGGAGTTTGCTATAGTTGCCCATTCTCATCTTCTCCTTGGTTTTCTTGATCATTATTCAGCCTGGTGAAAACCTCACAGTTTTATTAGAGTAGTCATGTGGGAATTGGACCAGACTCCAGTTTAGATGACCATCTTGGCAGTAGTTCAACTGCTTTCTAAACTGGTCTGATGTTAAAGGCTCCTGAAGAGCCTATGCTCTACTTCCCACCAATCAGAGGTTGCAGGTTTTTATCTCTGGGGATCAGTCACTGGAAGGGATTGGTTATAATATATTGAGGATGCTATTAGCAAAATATTGGTTGGGGCAACCTAGGGGATTGGGAAGGAGGAGGCTATAGTTGCTGTAGCAGAATTACACTCACCCTCTCTCCCTCTCCTCAGTCTGCAAAGGATAAGACAACTTTTCAAATCCATTCTAACCTGGTGAACATATATAAGTTTGGCTACTATATGAAGAGGCACAGTTCTAGTTAGGGGAGATATAAAGACAAAAATAAAAGTCCCTGCCTTCAGGCAGACTATGTTCTACTGCAGAAATACCATCTGTACATATATATAAGTAAATTTAAGATAAGAATATTTTTCTCTTTTTCATTCTTAAACTTCTCTCCCTATTTACCTTTGAAACTGGATTGACTGCCCATATAATTGGCACACTCCTTGCTCAATAATAAAAGCTATCTTTTATATGGCTGTAAATTACTTCACCAAGTCATCTCATTTTATCCTCACAACAACCCTGGGATGCCCAGAGTTACGCAGCTAGTAAGTGTCTGAGGTCTTCTTCCCAACTCCAGGACCAGCACTGTATCTACTGAACCACCTAGCTACCTAATAACTTTTACCTCCAATATGCTATTTCTTCTTTAAACTTCACTGACCCACTAGTCCTTGATATAAGTGGAAAGCTAGGCCATCTCTATGGCTTGCCTACTATCTTGGTTCTTCTCCAACAAAACATGAGATGCCCTTACACAGCTCAGAAAATATGCACTGATCTCTAGGGAAAGGAGGCTATGCAAAAGCTGGTGATGTTTCGTCCTTCCCATTCTGTCAATATCAACATACAGAAAAACACCAGGAGGGAAGGATAAACTGATAAGGGGGGAATGTCACTACAATATGAGCTAAGACTGACAGGTTACAAAGTATATATTCAAGTCTAACTGAGACACTATTCGTGGGGCTTGTTTTTTCTTTGTTTCTTTTGCTGATGATTTATGTGTGCATCCCTGCAAAGTTCTGTGGTGTTTTTTCCAATGTGATAATGCCACACTCAAAAGCACAGAACTAAAATTTGGCATTGTTGAACTTTGGTGCAATAATCAGATTTTTACCTTTTCTCAGAAATCTTGGAATACCTTCTTATAATTATACAGTTTACCTACAGATCTCCAAAGAAAATCTCCCTGTGGCTATATGACTCATTGCTTTATTTGCCATTCTGACAAAATCCACAGAACCATGAAATTTCATGCCAAACCATAATTTCCATATTAACAGTTTAAAATCTATTAATTTGTTTTGAAAGCATTTAGTTAACATTTTTCCTGCTGATTTTCTTTTGAAATTTATCTTTTTGCCATTAAGAAAAAAAATAAACTTTGACATTTTGTATAGTTGTATCATAAAATTATAGGCAGCTCTGTAAAGTCCTTTATCTTTTAAAAATATCAATAGTGCAGAAATATACATAAGCACTAAGCAGCAGAGAGAAACATGAAAACCACTAGACCACACACAAAATAATCCCTATGCTGTCATTTTAAACTTTACACTGAAACTACTTTGGTCTTTGAGCTGATGATTTTTGTGACATTCTGAAGGGTAATCAGACCTTGGTTTTATTTACTGTTTCTTTACATCCTGGGAAAGATAGGAGGTCATATGGAACTCCCATTGCTTTATATTCCTTAGGTCACTGCTCTCACCACTATTGTCCCGAGAGCTTCAGCCAAAGCACATACATACAGCTCCCAATAATGCAAGATCACAGATTTAGAGCTAAAAAGGACCTTGGAGGCCATCATTTGTAGATGGGGAAAGTGAGATCCAGAGAGGAAAAGTGACTTACTTAAGGTTAAGCCTACTGCATAACAGCGCAGGCAAAATCAAATTCTTAACATGGTAAATTTAATCAATATAAGAAGCCAGTTGGGGATAGGGAAGAATCTATTCTCTTTCATCAAAGGGCTCTCCTTCCCTGGTTTTGCTTGCTTTATCTGAATAATTATCTCAATCTTCCCATAAGCAGTTAGTTTTTTTGTTTTTGTTTTTCAGATCTTTCAGATTTGGCATATAAAAAATGAAAACCATTAAAGTTATTTGTATGATTCTCATCATACTCAATTTAGGGAGTTACTGTGATTTGATAGGAAAAGACCTGAACTAGGAAGGGCTCCATTATTAATTAGCTGCTTAGGTTGGGTAAGAGGAAAGCACATTGAATTTGGAATCCAAAGAATTAGGTTTAAATCCCAATTCTGCCACTTGCTATGTATGGGAACTTGAATAAGTTCCTTAAAATCTCTAAGCCTTAGTTTCTTCACCTGTAAAATGAAAGAATTAGATTAGACCAGAGATTCTTAACTTGGGAGTATATGAACTTGGTCTTAAAAAATATTTTAATGACTACTTCAATATAATGGGGGGATATATGTAATCCTATGTATTAATATTATGCACTTAAAACCATTATTATGAGAAGGGGTCTTTAGGCTTCACCAGAATACCAAATGGGTCCCTGATGCAAAAAAAAATGCTTAAGAACCCCTGGATTCCATTTTCTCTAAATTCTCTTTCAATTCTAAAGTCCCATGATCTTTATAAACCCTATGCCTCAGTTTCCTCCTCTATAAATGGAGTAAATGTCTTTCCTAGTCTGGCTACCTAGCATATGTACATCATATGAGATAAAGGAAAAGAAATTACTCTGGAACAAAATGCTAAACAAATGCAAAGTCATCATTGTTATTACTGAAAAAAGAAAGACCTGTATGTCTTCAGAAATAGCTGTGAGAACATGACTAATATGGAAATATGCTTTACATGGTTTCACATATATAACCTATGTCAAGTTGTTTAGCATGGGGGGGGAAGGGAGGAAGGGAGAAAATTTGTGACCCAAAATCTTATTAAAAATGAATGTTAAAAATTATTTTTACATGTAATTGGAAAAAATAAAATATTATCTAAAAAAAGAAGTAGCTGTGAGGAGAACTGTTCTAGAACAAAAGGGGAACCTAAACAGAAAGATTTTTGGAAAGTCCTCACTACTACAGAGCAGATGTCCAGACCAAGGGATTCCCAGCCTGTAGGACATCTCCTGAAACTGTTTCTTCCCAAAGATCCCAAGCCAAACAAGTGACTCCTATGCATTGCCCATTTCCTTAATAAAAATCAATCATTCTTGAGATAAAACTACATCAGACTTCATGGTAACTATTATTCAAATTTAATTCGGCAAACATTGAGAGCTTACCATGGGCAAGGAGTTGCCCTATGAGTTAGAAATACAAAACCCAAAATGAAACTGTGTCTGGTCTCAGGGAACTTACACTCTCCTTAGAAGGGTAATAACACATCCACAAATGAGTATATACAAAAAAACACATGAACAGAACAGAGTAATTTCTGACTAGTCACCAGGGCATAGAACTAGAAAGGTGAGGGGAAAGTGATGCCAGAGCTGTATTTTGAAGTAACTAGGGCTTCTGCTTGTTGAGGTATAGTGGGAGTTTGTTCTAGAGAGGGGGGATCATTTAGGCAAAGGCACAGAGAAAGGATATTTAATGGAACTTGTGAGCAACAGCTAGTAGGACCATTTGACTGAAACAATACATAAAAGAGGTTAATATGAAATAAGACTGGGAAGATTTGTAGGAGCCAGATTACTGAAGGCTTTAAATGACAAGGATTTTGTATTTCAAACTGGAAGCAATAGGGAATCATCAATTATTTTCAAAGACATATGAGTCTGAAATAACTGTTCTAGTATGTGTTATATTTTCCCCTAGACTCTGCACACACAAAAAAAAGGCCTGGAAAATGAAAACAATTCAGAGCAACACATTTGACACATACCGAGGGGGAAAGGGGGAAAGACAGACAGACAGAGAGAAGAGATCAGAACCGTAACTGCAAATACTCTTCCTCCTGTTCTCACTAGTTTTCTTTACCATCATGCTATATCTAACTCACTGATCAAACCGGTGAAGTATAAGAGAGGCTTGTATCCAAGGGCACTATGCTATCTACCCCAGAAGTCTTTTTCCTACTGTTATGATTGTAGGCATGGCCTGCAAAGAAAAAGTGAGAACAGATACAATTTGGGTAGACTTTAATACAAAAATGATTAGCACTCTGATCTTAGCAGGAATGTTCTGGAAGTTACCAGCCTTAGGTTAACTGGAGGATCCTAACTTAGTCAATTCATTTCACCAAGCCTTTTCCTAGGGATCTTTTATCTCATTTCTTAACAAGCTTCTTTTCTCTTCTTCGCCTCTTCCCCCCCCCCTTTGCCTTGGCTCTTTCCAGATTCCTCCCCTTTTGGGGGAAAAAAAAATCTCTTTCCTCCCTACTTTTTCTCCTTTGGCCCCTTGAGAGGATGGAACCAGGAAGTTGGAATAGAGCACATCTATAGAAATAGGCAGCCTTTGCTAGCAGGCAAAAAGATAAAGCAATTCTTCCTTTTCTCTGTTTACCCTAGAGTAATAAAAGGATCAACTAACTGAGACATCAAATAGACTGGTCCTTTGGCATAATACTTAAGCTTCCCTGACTGGCACTGCCAAGGAAGTATGATCCTGCTGCTAATTAAGAGCACTCCTACTTACGTCCCTTTTAGTCATTTTCCTCCTGATAATGGAATATTGACTTCAGGCAGGGCTCCATACTTTACTGGAGCACTAAAAATCTGCAGCTGCATCAACATTTGGCAAAGAGAAAGAAAAATGTGAAGCAGTAATTGAGAATTCAAGGAAGAAAAAAATCACATGCACATATCAAAATTAACTAGATATTTCAAATGATTGAGATTCGAAATTATCATCCAAATAATCACTCCCCAATTCAATTCCTAGTATATATTTTGCATACACACACACACACACACACACACACACACACACACACACACGCTCATACAAACACATAAAATCTCCTTTGCTGGTCCATATTTTTTTTTCTTGTGGAATATACACAAATCATTCTGATAACCAAAGAAAATTCCACTGCCCTTACTTTTTGAATGCTGAAAAAGACAAAAATAAAACCACCTCCTTGAATAATTGTCTTGAATTACAATCGCTAACGTTTATATGCTTTACAAATATTATCTCATTCATCTGCAAAACAGCTTTGGGAGGTAGGAGCTGGTATTACAGATGAGGAAACTGAAGCTCAGAGAGGCGATGATTTGCCCAGGGCCATACTGATTGCAAGTATCTGAGGCAGGATTTGTACTTAGGTCTTCCTGACTCCAGGTCCAACACTCTGTCCACTGCACCACCTAGCTGCCACCTCTCTTTTGCACCATCTAGCTAAAATTAATTGTACGATTGTGACTGAAGATTAAATTAGGAAAATGGTTGTTTTTATCAATCTAAACTTCTGCTTTATGACTGTGGGCAATGACTAATTTCATTACACACTTGCTTGACGGAGCTTTAGTTCACTTTCTTTCAAAATCATTGTCTCCAAAAAATATTTGGTGTAAGAAGTATCATCTAAAGCGTTTTTCTCCAGCTACATCTGTGATCTTCTAAGCAGCCTGGAATCCACTATTTTAATTGTTTTTAACTCAGTTTCTTCATTCAAATCTATCATCCAGTATCTAAAATGAATGCTGAGCTTCAATATCATGTAGTGGATCATTATTTTCTCTAGCTATCTTCTGGGATGGAAATTATGAGACAAAGAAACTTTATATATAATCCATAAAATAATGACCATAGTATTTCCTATTTCCACTGTAAGGTTTTACTGAACACTGCCATGAGCACAAGGAAAATATGATGAGTAATAATGATGTAATGAGATTAACAAGAAGTAGAGTGGGCAATTTCTTATTTATTGCTGATTCTTCTGTAATGCTGACTTTTAAAAGATTGGTCAAATTCACAGATAAGTACAGATGAAGTTGTTTCGGGACCAAGAGAAATTGAGCCACTGTCATTAATTTGTATATAGTTGAACAATAGGCACTCTCCAACCTAGAGTACTAACTTTTATGTGGCATTTAATAATCATTATGCCACATTTATACCTTTAAAATGTTTATTGGTAACTACCTTTTGTGAAAAATCAGGCTATACAAATAAATTCAATTCAAAAGGCTGTATAGCAGCCCAAGTCTTTCATTAGTTACTAGAGAGGAAGAACACTCCTTCTGAGTCAAATAACCTAGGTTCAAATTCCACCCTATTAATTACTCCCTGAGCGATTTTGGGCAAGTCACTAAAACTCTCTGGACCAGTTTCCTAATCTAGAAAATAAGGGGATTAGACAAGGCCACCTCTGAAGTCTCTCCCAACTTTAGACCTATGATCTTACAATCACCATATTTGATTTCTTTCTTGACCGTTCCCTGCCTTTAGGAGTATCCTCTGGAGCTAGGAAGTTGTGATTAGACTAGAGGACCAGAAATGGTTACAAAGTACAGGAACTAAGAAAGGGCTTTAAGGAAAGGGCGATTTACAGGAGCGTAAGTGGGAAAGTTCCCCTCCCCCACCTCAGCTTTTTTTTTGTGACTAGGACTCCAAAATTACAGTTTCATTTTTAGACATGGGGCTAGGGAAAGAGTCATAAGTACACAATAAAAGAGTGTTTTCTCTGTGCCTTCTTCGAAAAGCCAAATGAACAAAAAGGAGACTAAAACTCCAAGGGTATAGTAAGGGGGGCTGAGAGTTTTGAAAATTTAGCCCCAGAAACTAGCAGAGGTGGGCTGTATTTAAATGAAGTTATCCCTCCCCACACCAGCAACTAACCAATCTTTCTTTCTAAGAAATAGGTGGTATGAAGATCACTACTCTTAGGTTTAGTGACCCAAATCCAGCCACATGTTGTCATTATGTACCATTTCTGGGTGGGGAAATCCCAGAGTCTGAACAGGAGAAACCAACCCCGCTGTTAGACACTACTACACTTCGGGGAAAACAAGCCAGTGAAGAAAGATCTTCGCATCCACGAGGTCAGGTTGGTCCTGGATGCCGGTCTACCGAGTCCTTTTTCATCCTGCTGAGTTCCAGACTGCCGCTCCTTCTTCCGGGTACCTTTAGCTCTCTTTATGGCGTAATGATAACAATGCACCCTCCCATCACCAGCCCGGCACACATCGCCTCCCGGGCACACCTTCCTATGCTATCCTAATTTGCAATCCCTGAGGCTACGAGAAGACAAACATATTCCTAAAGGTTGCCTTCCTTTCCCATTCTGTAGAAAGAAGATTTGGGAGATAGCCTACTAAGTATATAGGAGAATCAGGAGGCCTCTACCAGAGATGCTTCTCCATCCCCCGCCCTGACCGGGGAAAGAGGAGGGAGGAAACAAGCAAAGAAGGGGCTCAGAGAGGGAGAGAGAAAGGAGCTTCCCCAGCTTCCCTCAGGCTGTGCATCCTCGGGCCAAAAGGGCGACCGCAAGTGGATGGTGATTCTGCTGCTGAGCTTGCTCAGCCTTCCAACGGCGGTCAAGGTACAGGAAGCTGCCACCCTGTGGGTACGGAGGGCTGACTGCTGATAACAGCGGAGAGGAGGCAGGCGGGAGACCAAGTCAGGCTCCTGCCCGGCACAGAACCCCGCCCACAGAAGCCTTAGAGACCCGCCCCACTCCCACCCCCAGTTTCTTTTTACCCTGAACAGCAAGGGGAACCTCGCGTCTAGCTGCGGAGGTGGGAGAACTGACCCTCCTTCTCCCCACTCCCCCAGCCCCCGCTCCCAATCAGACCAATAGCTAGACGGGAGGTGCGTCGTCGGTCTCCGCCCGCGTAAGGGACTCTTGGAGGAGGAGAAAACTTTGTGCAGAGCCTGAAAGAGCTGGACTGCAGTACATACCCTGACAGAGCAGAGGAAGATGAACGGCTCCAGGTCCGAGCCCCAGCAAAAGTGGATGCCGAGCGATCCCCAGGACGCAGGAAGTTCTTGCAGCCCCAGCCGCCGGCCTCGATAGCCATCCTCGGCCGGACCGTTGGCAGTCCTGGGACCACCTGCGTCCACCTGTGGGACAGGATCTTTGAGTGCCAGCGCCTACCTGCGTGCGCCCCAGAGCTCAGGGATCTTCACTGTCCCACGGAGTTGAGAAGGCGGCGCAGCCCCTAATTTGGGGCTCAGAAATCTGAACCCTAAACAAAGAAAATTCACCTACATCCTCCTACACATCCTGCTCTCCTCCTGTCTTTCTTGATTCTCCTAAAACAAAGACAGGCTGAGCTGACCTTTAGTCTCCAAAGCAGGTGGGCAGAGGAGACTCGAACCCTACCTAGGAAAGAAGAGCTTGGCAAAGCTCCACATTGAGTGGGGCAAAAAGCTGTTGAGGCGGGTGAAGGTGTTTCAAAAGGAACTAAGGGTGCAGAGGAACCTCTAGTGCCACCGCCGGTGAGAGCTGGGGGGTTGGGGAGGTGGGACAGATTGAGGTGGGAGGAAGGAGGAGGATGGAAGAAGGGAGGAGGATGGAAGAAAGGAGGAAGAGGGTAGCTTTGACAGGAGGTGAGGTGCTGCCCTAAGTTGGGATCCGGAAAGGAGTACAAGGGCACAGAGCAAGTTTGGCGGGTTCAAATTTTTTTTTCCCCGAAACAGCGCCCTCAATTAACTTGGTTTTGTTTGTTTGCTTTTTAATGAGTATAGTCAAATAGAACCAAGTCCTATGCAAGACAGCTTTCCTCCTTGACTGGGTCCTAATTTTCCTACTAGCTGGGGAGAGGGGGGAAGAAGGGGGAGAAGACATGAGAGAAGAAAGGAGAGGATGCTTTTTAAAAAAGAACCAAAAACCATATCTTTCGAGCTGTAATATTGGTTAAGCTTGTAGATTTCTATCTAGATGAAACTTGATTATCATCCTCATGAATTATAATATGCTTACGCTTATTATACATAATGTGTGAAAGCTGAGCCCCAGAGATAACAAAATTCAATGCTGCTCAATGCTCGTTTCTTCTCTCCATCGCTCACACTCTCGATCTCTCTTGGTCGCAGATTCTCGCCCTAGGCTCCGTCCCCTCTAGCCATCACGATGTTTTCCAATGCCAACACCTCTGCCGTTGTGGCACTCTTGAACCAGACCGGTCCTCTCCCTCCCGTGACAATTCCAGCGGTGATGTTCATTTTCGGCGTAGTGGGCAACCTGATCGCTATCGTGGTGTTGTGCAAGTCACGAAAGGAACAAAAGGAGACGACCTTTTACACATTGGTGTGCGGGCTGGCAGTCACCGACCTGCTGGGCACATCGCTGGTCAGCCCGGTCACCATCGCCACCTACGTGAAGGGAGAGTGGCCCGGAGGCAATGGGTTGTGCGAGTACAGCACCTTCATCCTCCTCTTCTTTGGCCTCTCTGGCCTCAGCATCATCTGCGCCATGAGTATCGAACGCTACCTGGCCATCAACCACGCCTACTTTTATAGCCACTACGTGGACAAGAAGCTGGCCGGACTCACACTTTTTGCAGTTTATGTCTCCAACGTGCTCTTCTGCGCCCTGCCCAGCATGGGACTTGGGAGCTCCACGCTTCAATACCCCAATACTTGGTGCTTCATAGACTGGCGCACCAACGTAACCACACACGCCGCCTTCTCCTACATGTATGCTGGCTTCAGTTCCTTCCTTATCCTCGTTACGGTTCTTTGTAACATTCTGGTCTGCGTGGCGCTCATCCGCATGCACCGCCAGTTTGTGCGCCGCACCTCGCTGGGCACTGACAGCCACGCCGCTGCCGCGGTCTCCGCCGCCTCCTCCAGCCTTGCCTCCTGTTCTGCTGTCCCTCGTCTCAGTGATTTTCGTAGGCGTAGAAACTTCCGCCGCATTGCTGGTGCGGAGATCCAGATGGTCATCTTACTCATTGCAACCTCTTTGGTGGTTCTCATCTGCTCCATCCCTCTCGTGGTGAGTTAGCCAGAATTCTACTGCCTTAGAATCCTGGAATATTCGAACTGGAAGGGAACAGCTAGACAAACCCACTCATTTCACAGATCAGGAAGCCGATTCAGAGCCGCAAACTGACTAACCTGAAGTGAGCTAGTTAGTGAACTAGACTAGACTAGAACAGTACTAGGACCCAGGCCTCCTGACTCTCAGTCTAGTACTCTTTCCCTAGCACCTAGCTGCCTCTAGAATAATTTTTGATGAACTTTACCCTGCTGTGGTGGCTCTTCCCTATATTTGCTCCTTTCAGGTGTCTTTTTCCCATTGTTTTGTCATCTCAGCATCTCCCCAGGTCTTAGATACATTCCAGCCCTCCTTGAACCAGTTGGACCCTCATTTCACACCTCTTCATGGTGAATTTTCCCACAAGGATTTGAGAGGGCTTTTCTACATATTATTTCTTTTCCTTCCTTATCCAGGCCAGCTGTCTATCTCTTGCTGTCTTCTTGCTATTTGAGAAATACCCTACTCCTTCCTGTAGCCATATGGGGAGAATATAGCAGAATGCTCTCTTCCTTAGACAACTCTATTACATCTTTCTTTTCCCACACTGTTAGGATAGAACATGAGCTTGGTGGTAGTCTACAAAGATGGGATTTTTAAAGGACTTTTGTATTAAAATAATAAAGAACAGTAATTTTCAGCTTGAAAGGGACCTGACAGATTCATAGATCATCTGTAGTTCAACAGAGAAAGAAACAGAGACTCAGCCACCTATGTCCAACACAGAGTCAACACTCAAACCTGGATCTCAACTGCCAATCTGGTGCTATTCCAACTGCACCTCATTTTTCTTACAGAGAAAATTCCATTAAATTTTCAGGAAGCACATATTTCAGCACTAATGCAAAACTGATCATTCACATACATTTGTAATAATTCACATACGTCTTCCTTCACAGAACAAGTATGATTCTGACATCTGTATATGAATATCATTGGATTTTGGTATGCTTTATTCAAGAGAACAGGTTTGCTTTGATTTTACCATAAAATACTTTTTTGTCAAACTCACCTAAACAGGTGTAGATTAAGTATAAACCTGTGCTTTCACATATAGGGAACTCCCTCCCAAGTGAAGGAGCTCCCTCTACAGATTCTCTGCATCTTGCAGTCTGAGAGCACTGTCTTGGAGAGACTTACAAGGTTTTGTCACATGCGTCAGAAGCAGGATTTGAATCTAGATCTTCTTGACTTTGAGGCTATCTCTCTAATTATTGTACCACATAGCCTCTTGTACATGTAGGTTGTCAGAAAAGCTAATGCTAAACCTTAAAACTGATGATACTTTTAAAAAAGTAATTCCGTTTTAGTCTCACTACTGTTGTGTTCAGTTGGAAATTCACCATCAGTTCAATCACTGGACAAGTCCTTTCTTGCACTGGTTGGGATGTATGATAATAAATATAATAAAGCTCTTATTATTTACCACCAACCACGTAGGGATCTTGATTGTTAAAATAGTGTCTCTGATAAAGGTGAATGTAAATGGAAGTGCCTTAAAAGTGAATGGGAGCCAGCTTACAGTAGCATCTTGCCAGACTGTGTAAACAGAGGCATAAAATATGGCCAAAAGGGTCTAGGGCATAATATAATCTGAAGAGTTAATTCACCTTTGCTATATAAACATGTTTTACTGTCCTTATCAGTAGCATGAAATGAAGTAAGATTTTGGAAGCAACAAGCTTCCTTCTTTGGTCTTTTCCCTTGGCTTCACAGTATGGTAAATGACAGTGTAAATGGTTTTTATTTATAGAACATCTACTTTGTAGAAGTAAAAACTAGAAAGTTAAACAACACATAATTCAAAAATGTTCTTGTGGTTGTTCTAAAAGGACAAATGTACAAAGAGTAGTAACTTCCAATGGGAAAATGCCTTCTTCTAAGACCTGGAAGGATCTAAAAAGACTTAATCATTTTAATGGACATATTCCTGGTTGCTATGAATGTAACAGTCAGGTTCATTTTGGATACAGTTTTCATGCTCATTTGAAATAATAAGGAAAAAAACTGAGCAAAAAGCTCATAGCTAGCAAGCTACAATGCATTTTGAGCACTCTCCATCCCATTTAAGATTTTTAAAGAGAAAATAAGGAAGCTCAGTCTGTGAATGAAAGACATTTGAATAGGATAAGCACTGAAACATCTTTGTAAGGAGTCTATGGCTTAATCTTTTCTTGACTTTAAAAAGGCAATAATTAAAACTAATAGGTTTCATTTACGTTCATGATTTTTTAAAATGAGAGACAAGTGATAATGAAAAAAATTAATCAAAATTATTTTGAGAACTCAAATTATTTCAACATAAGACTATGTACTGCTTAGCAAGCTTACGAATTATGTAATGAGCCCAGGAATAATCCAAAGGTGAATAATCATTAAGCCTAAGCTTCGATTTCAAGAAACCAGTAAATAGGACCTGTGGGGAGAGTGATGTCTGTCTGAGGGACAAACCCTTCAGATCATTTAAGTCAAGCAGATAATGATGATAGGCAACAAAAAGTTTACTTGGAATTTCAAAAAGCTATGACAAGATTAACCAGAATAACAAAATGCTATGAATAAAAAACAAATTTTGCCTTGTTTTGAAAAGTTGTTGACTACCAGAAAAAAAGCAATAATGATAGT